TACAAGGCCGCCCACGTGGATGTAGGTTGAGCGGCGGCTGCCCCCACCCCCRTGTGTCATATCGACCCACTTGCACACAGCCAAAAGGCAAAGAGGCAAAGAAGAGAGGAAGGGAACAGCCAAATGAAACAAATAGAACAGAGGGAAACAAGACAGATCCCAGATGACAAGTCCCACATGCAAGCACCGCCCGCTTCGTCAAAGGCCAAACAACGGGACAAGACCACCCAGGACAAGACATAAAAAAGCGACGATCCACAGTGTGACAACCAAGAAAAAAAGAGAAGACAATCCTGGATGACGATTTATATCGTCACAAACAGAACTGCCCGGTAAACCGTAGGCAGAGAGAGAGAAGAGGACAACAAACGAGGGACTGTGTATATATATCTATATATATATATATTTTCGGCGTATCCCACCTTGTTCCTTGAACCCCAGGGGCTCCGATGTGAACGGAGGGATGTGAAAACGGTTTAGGACGTGGCGTTCGTGGAGTGAACGTCGGGAGGTCCTTTTTCCCAAAAGGATGGAGTGTTTTTATGTTTTCTTTTTCTTATCTTTTTTGCCCGTTACCTGGCCAGGTTCGTCCAAAAAAGGCCACAGCCACACAAAGGTCGCGCCACTCACGTAATATCTCCTGCAATAACAGGACGGTGGAGTACAAATTTTCTTTCACGGTCCGAATGTTGCGGCCCCTTCTTTTTCGTTTCTTTTTTACTTCTACTTACCGAAGTAGGGTGGGATGAGGCCCTAAAAAACATCATACGGATTAAAAAACATCATCCCCTTACACAACAAAGGTTGATGGCCAAAAAAAAAAAAAAGGTCGACGGCCAGGGTCGTTTAATCCGTGCGATCGCTTTTTTATCACAATGATTTCCATGCGTATCCGAATAGAAAAATTAATACTGGGCCAAGTTTCAGACCGGATAGTAGGTCTGTGAATTAGTGCATAGGGTTAGATCAGGAGTAGTTAAACCACTGCAGTACTTCTTACAGTCGTGCCCGTAAACAAGCCGCGATTTTAGGAAACGTACGGGCCACTACAGGAGCGCCCACATTCATCCCACTAGAAACGTTTCTAATCTATTTTTTTGGGCGTCGATAGCTGGGCCAAGTACCGGTGGTTTAAGGTAACAGGCTGAAATAAGGGGGTTTGGATACCGGAGGAGTTTTGCAAAAGCAAGTATAAGTGATCTGAAGTTGGAAGTGAGACTTATAAGCTAAACCGGCTGATGCTTCCGGGATAACTCTGGGTGGATATGTGATGTCATCGGCCTCGGTTTTTTTTTGTTTTTTTTTTACCATTTCTCGATTTATGCGTGTCATCCTTGCACAGGGGCCATGCTAATCTTCTCTGTATCTTCCAATTTTAACGGATGTCCCCGGCCTCGTTTCAAATGTTTGATTCGTAAAGAAATAAAGGTTATAAATAATAATAATAATAATACAGTAATCATGATTTCCATATGTATCCAAATAGAAATATTACTAGTAATACAGTAATGATACGAGCTAGTAATGCAAAAAAAAAAAAAAAAAAAAAAAAACCGTCGCCAAATCTTTCTTTGAGAGAAACAGCAAGGAAACGACAGCAACCTGTTTAGGGGAAAAAACAAAGGTCAAACCTTTGGGGAAAAAAAAAAAAAAAAAAAAAAAAAAAAACCGTCGCCGCAAGGCGAGAGAGGTTTACCGGTAGGTGGTGCAACGGCGGGGAGGATCCCACGAGCACCGCGGATTCGATTAAGCGAAAAAAGAAAAGGCCGGGGTCGAGGTCCCACTACCGGGTTGCAAAGAGGATTAGATTGGTCACCAGAATCTGGGCTTGTTTGTGGAGAGGTGCAGAAAATCGCGACTGATCTGCTTTCTGCATCTCTGCAGAGAAGACGTCCCGGTTCAGGCTTTAATTTCTATTTTGGACAGAAAAGTAATATCTGAAAGACGGACCAAAAATAGCAAAAGCAAAAGAAGAACAGAAAAAAGAAAGAGACGGATGTTCTCATTTCTCTGTCTTATTGCTGTGAATAAAAAAAAAAAAAAAAAAAAAAATTGATCGGCATGTGACCGACGGAAACAGTGGTACACACACAGAGGTGTTGATAAACAGACCATGAGTTAAATTCCTAATAGATACGATTTCTTTTTTTTGTTTTTTTTTTTTAAATGGTCCGATGGACCACGGATCAGATATTAAACTGGAGAGAACAGATACTACACTTGATCTTAGCCAAAAGGTCGAGAAAGGTATAGGCGCTAGCCCACGCAAGAACTAACTATTTAATTTATCATATTATTGTCAATTTATTGATACCATTATTGTCATTATATTATTATCATTACAATAGGCTCGGGAGCACTTGCCCGGCCGGACCCCCCCCCCAAAAAAAAAAATCTTATTTTTTTTAATTTCAAATTTAGTAAAGAATTTCGATGTGACCCTGAGGCGAAAGTTGTTCAGTTTATTTTTCTGCATAACTTTTCTTTTCCAGATTATTTGGTTTTTCTTCTTTTTTTTTTGCTGGGACCTTCCTTGCAGGGCCAGGCCGCCGGGGCAAACAAGGTGACCCGGGCGGCGCGGCTGGTAGCCTAACACTGTATTAGAAAAGAACGAACTGATTGGTTGTGGAATGTCAAAGACGCTCGAAGTGAATCGGAAACGCCAAATCTTGGAAGTTCGACCAGAATCAGAAACGGAGAGAGAGAGAGAGAGGGGAGAGAGAGGAGGGAGGGAGAGGGGGAGGGAGGGATGAAGAGAGAGAGGAAGGTGGAAGGGGGGTAGGGGGGGAGGGTAGATACCCATGGCGCGCAGATTCCGCAGACAAAACCGGAAAGCTAAACGAGCAAATGAGTCCGTCTTCACCCAAATAAAACGCCCAGTCGTCGTCGCTGCATCTGGTCCGAAAGTTGCCGAAATGCAGCTACAATGACCCCGCTAAACGAGCGGGGGAGGGGGGTTATTCGGGCGAAGAAGGATAGTGGGAAACACGTGAGGGCAGTAACGTGGAGACAGAGAGAGGGGGAGCGAGGGGGGAAATACAAAAAGAAGGCATCATTTTGCTCCCAATAACGAAGCATCATTTTGCTCCCCCTAGCAAAGCATCATTTTGTTCCCCGAAAAGGTCATCATGTGTGTGGACACAGAATCAACGACGCAGGCTAACGGCGGGAGATAAGGAGTTGTGGCTTCGAAGGAAGAGAGAGGGAGAGAGAGGGAGAGAGAGGGAGAGAGAGGGAGAGAGGGAGAGCGAGGGAGAGAGATAGAGAGAGGGAGACAGGGAGAGAGAGGGAGAGAGGGGGAGAGAGGGGGAGAGAGGGGGAGAGGGAGAGAGAGGGAGAGAGATAGAGAGATGTACTAGAAAATAGAGCTGGACAGATCGATTAACGTTTTCCCAAAGAAAAGAAAACAAAGATCGATCAAGGAGAAGACCAGATGAGAGCATTTTTTCGAGTTCTAAGCACGGAGGAGGAGAAAAAAGAGAAGAGGGAAGGAGGACACAATACAGGACAAGGAGGAGGCAGAAGAGGAAGAGGAAGACGAAGAGAAAAAGAGAGAACANAGAGGGAAGGAGGACACAATACAGGACAAGGAGGAGGCAGAAGAGGAAGAGGAAGACGAAGAGAAAAAGAGAGAACATACAACATTTAGCGGAATACAATAGAGATTCCTGAAACGGGATGATAAGCACGGCCCCCCGACCCGAACACATCGAACAATGTTCCCAATAATCACACAAAAAAAAAAAAAAAACGGAAGGACCAGATTCAAACAGACTTGTGCAGCGTGAACTCTCCCATGATTTTTTTCATTCCCACGTGGATGCTGCAACTGCCGCGAATATCGATTTCCAGCAAAATATCCGAAATTTTCGATTTTCCAAAAGTTAAAATATCGGTATTCGCAGACCCGTAGCTGTTTATTTCTTATCCTCTGTGAGGTTCTTCCCCCCCCCCCCCTCCTCAAAAAATGAACTCGACACAATCAATTTGATAATCCTACCCCTCTGCCAAGACCCCTGCCTGGGTTGGGAATACTACCGTCTTCACCCGAATAGAACCCCCTGTCATTTTAGCTGTATTTGGGAAGTTTTCAGTCTAGATACAGCGATCACGACCCGGCGTTTTATTCGCGTAAAGACGGTAGGCACCGATAACCTGCTCAGGCAGCCAGCACATCACCTATTCACAGCAGGCGCAAAACTCAGGATTCCTAATCCTCCTTGCTCTTCATCCCAGCAGTATTATTTTGCTCAAGTGGAAGATTCATTGCCCAAGACTGTGGAGGGCAATCGGGAAAAAAAAAAAAAAAACAGAAGTCCCAGACAAAAGAACGGAAAACTCGAAAAAGATAAACGTAGAGCGGCGCCCGACATTTTGATGTGCAATTAATGCGTTCTTTCAAAACCAGAAAAAAGCCACGCAAAAAAAAAGAAAGGTGAGCGGCGGAAAATGCATACGCGTGTTCTTTACCCCCGTTTCCATTTCTCCATTTCAAAACTGAAAGTTCCCAAAATAAAAAGAAAAAATTACGCGCAACAATCAACTACCATAGGAAAAATTACGAGACCGCAAAGCCAAAAAAAAAAAAAAACTGAGAGTTTCGGCTAAAAGAAAAGAAAACAAGATTATATCATCATTATATAGTAAAAATGAACGAGATGAGAATAATACTAATACCCTTGGAAATTGCACCCGGTGAGAATAAAGTTGTTCTCTTTCGGGGAAGGGCGGGAAAGGAGAGAGAGGGAGATGGCGGGAATCAGGCAGCGGGAAATTCATTACGCAAGTATTTGAACAGTAACGTTTTCATATCGACTCGGAGCCTCGCTCGACTACTCACCAGATGCATAATAGACAAAAAATATGGCGGTGTATCTTTCCATGTTGTAGCGAAAGATTCATTTCTCATTTTTGCACATTGGGTCAGAAGCGAACCGAGAGCTTCGTAAACTAGTTTAGATACGTCCTAGCTGAGTTGATAACATGGATGTTCCTCTCACCTGATAATCAGTCGTCGCCTGGCGGAATCGCTCGAGCAGAATCGTGCCCGTCTTGCCCCCGCTCTTCGCATTGATGAATATCAGAATCGGCGCCGACGGCACGTCAGTTCCCTGCCCCTCTTCTGGACTACACGTAGCATCTAGTAAATACCTCGGAATGCGAAGATTTTCAAGCTCGACATCATTTGCCCCTTCCTCCCTCACATTCGTGTCCGTAGCCATCCTGCCCTTCGATTACCTGTTCGTTCCTCTCTCTCTCTCTCTCTCTCTCTCTCTCTCTCTCTCTCTCACGCACAGACAAATACGCACCTGTTGGCGTCAGGCAATCGTCATATCCACTACGGCTAGAGATAAGGGTTAAAGGTGTCGCTCGTAAGGGAGACAAGCCCAACGAATCAGATGAAGAGAGAGTGGAAGAGGGCAGGTATATATATATAGAGAGAGAGAGAGGAGGAGGAGGAAGAGCCACCTGGCAGCTCGTTCAGAAAACTTGCATGTTTTCAGGGCGACTGATCGGCCGTCGATTGCGCCCCTCCTCTTATTAGTTACGACAATGACGTCCGCGCTTCTCCCGTTCCTCTAACTTCCGAGAAAAAGGCGGGTAACGGGAAAGCATGCGGATGATGACGACGGGGGGGTTCCTCTCCCCATGTAGAGTTTTGCATTGGAACGAACAAAACGAAAGAGAAAGCGGGGGGGGGGGGAAACACATAAAACCGCTGCTGATTGGGGGTGATAAATGACTACCAATAAGTGCGAAGAGGGGGTAAGGGCTGAGTGAGGGAGAGAAAACCACCACTTAGCGAAGTGGTTGCCAAGCAACAAGTCCGCGGGTGCATCGCATGTGTCACATCCACCGACATTCACCCCGTGCTACTCCCCTCACATGTCTCCCATCCACCGTCGCCCACTGTATCCACTATCGCCGCAACGGCTAACTACCCCTTTCGAAAACGCATCGAATCGGAACTACCTACCCAGCCTCTACTACTACTGACATATATTCCTCTTGGCAGCACCTCTCTCTCTCTCTCTCTCTCTCTCTCTCTCTCTCTCTCTCTCTCTCTCTCTCTCTCTCTCTCTCTTGAATGTCTTTGTCTCTATGTGCAACTGTGTGTGTTGGCCAAAGCACTCACTCGACTTGAGGCTTTCTAGCTTGACAGGTCCTCCGGTCGAATTGAGACCGTCGCGTACGACGTGTTTGTGTGGGTGTGGCTGTGCGTTTCTGTTTTGTCATGTTTGATGCACACAACTCCACAAAAAAACTGTGTGTGTGTGTGTGTGTGTGTGTGTGTGTGTGTGTGTGTGTGTGTGTGTGTGTGTATGTACATACGCGGGTGCCTACATGTGCCGAGAGAGGTACAAGCAGAGCGGGAGGGCACCTGATTCGAGAATGGGTTATGCGGTCATTATTATGCATGTAAACGCTACTCCCGTCAGGGCGTTTCCGCAGATGTCTCTGAAGGGCCTCTCTGCTCACCAATCCGTCGGCCCAATACGCTTATCATCCGATGTTTATCACCCCATTTCTTCAGTGCCCTCCTGTGATTACTCCCCTTATCATCACCCTTGATTCATCCGATGTTATATTAGGAGGGGTGGGACAACAATCCTCGCTCCACTACTGGTAGCACACAGCATCCACTAGGTCGGTCTCTCAGATGCCGCCCCCCACCTGGAGATTGCCCCACTGACCGCTCTGCCCGGTCTATGTCAGTCTTCACTCCCAGCCCGTTCCCGGACCAATGACCACTCATCACTTTCCTTCCCACCTGTCTCCCTGCCCGGCGTGCCGCCGCTTATCTTCTTTTGCTAAATCAATCAATCAATCCGCTAAACAAATATTCAATCAACAAGCAAATCAAGTACTTAATCAATTAGAAAAAATCGAGTCAGTCAAGTGATTATTGGAAGCGGCCCCCCGTACACGTCCGCAATCTTCCAATCAAACAGCCCCCCAACAAATCCCACCGTATCTTTCCCTGCACCAGCCCTGGAAACCCCAATACCGATCAGCCAAGTACGCCGACTAGCCGTGTAGCCCGCTGTTCGATCACTCGTCAGTCCAACTCATTAGACGCAAGTTTCCTCGATGGAATCAATCATCACCGCAAGCGACCGGCCGACACGTCAGCGAGGCCTGCGAGATGGGGCAAGCAAACGGCCCCGCTACTCATCAGGAACGTCGAGAAGGAGAAGTGCAGCGAGCAGGATGAGGAGGAGGTGGAGAACGTCAGAGGAGAAGGTAGAAGCCTCGAGATGTCCGGGTAATATTGAAGAGGATGGAAAGAATATAAGAATGAAGACGACGAGCACATCGGAAGGGCCAGCATAATCGGCGACCAACCCGAAAAAATAAAAAAATAAAAAATAAAAAAAAAACGGCGACCAAGTGGCCGTCCGGATGCTCAAGGATTGCTCCACATGTGGACAGGTGACAGCACGTGATGACGTGGCGGCATGACGTGCACAGCGCAGCGTGACGATGAGATTTCAAGTTGATGGCAGGATATACGCAAGACGACCCTCGGAAGAACGCCCATTGGCAAGTGCACCGACGGCGACCATCGAGAGGTGAAAAAAGATACACTGGCGGGGGATCGGTTTTTCTGGACTGATTCGGCGCTCACAAACAAGCCAACTTCCAGAGGGAGAGGGAGAGGGGAGGAGGGGGGGGGGGGGGGGGGGGGGAGAGCGAGAGAGAGAGAGAGAGATTTGACGAGAGTGTGGGGGGTGATAGGGTAATCGTCGCGGGAGGAAAGAGTGTCTTTTGGGAAGGGAGGGTGAAGGATCCCGATCGCGGGGAAAGGGGATTGCCGGGAAGTGACCTCGAGTGCGCGCGAGCAGACACTACATGTGACAGAAGCCACGTGTCACGCCTTGGCCTCACAGCAAGCCGTCTGGCAGTCCCGACGCACGCCTGTGGCCTTCGCTGGCTTGGCTTGGCGGTACCAGCGACGAAACTCCGCACACGCGGGAGGGGAGCGGTGGGGTGGGCTGGGGCTACGGTAGGATATTGCGGGCCGGGATGGGGCGGGCCGGGATGAGGCCGGGGCAAGGTCCCACTTGCAAGGATTAAGATATTCTGGCCGTTGATCTTTACAATCTACGGTCAATGTCGCTTAATTCGTGTACGTGGGACCTAGCCCCGGGCTGGGATGGGGCTACAGGAAGGGGCGAGGCGGCGGGCGGGGGGCGGGGGGCGGGGGCCGGGGCTGGGGCGGGACGAGGCGGGACACGGGAGGGGAAATGAGATTGAAACCGCGAAATGAGCGGGGAACGGCCCCAGTGCGGTAACTGTGGAAGCGGAAAAAACGCGGTAAGCTTCTTTGTTTTCCTTTTTTTTCCCTCTTCAGGGCGGGGTAACGGCCCTTTTTTGTCGTTTGTTTTCTGTGTTTTGTATTTTTCGTCTGTCTGACATCACTACTGTGGCCCTAAGAGAGCGGAGGCACGCGCTCAGACTGTGACGTTTTCGGCCGAATATAGATGACGTTGAGGTTAGGTACATGCAGAATAGTGATGGTGTGGTCGCGCTGGACAGCAAGACTGCTGTCAGGACCGCAGCTAGCGGGCTGAACCACGTTGTCAGGCCAGAGCCACCGTAGAGCTTTGCTGCACGTATATATAGACCGCTTTCACGGCCATTCGTCGATGCACCGGACCGTAATTGCCGCAAGAGATCAGCAGCAGAAGCCCTGGTGTCCTCAGTCGGCGGGACCTCTGCGGTTACTTCTAATGTTCCGCGCTGCTGTCAGAGGGCCAGCTCCGCATTGGCCACAAGTCCTCAGCGCGTCCTCACTTCGCATCTGACCGAAATACTTCCCCACTCAAGTCCCCATTTATTAGGGCATCTACCCTCGTCGGGGCAAACTAACATCCTTACCATGCAGCTGGTCAGATGAATTGTAAGGGCGTAATTGCTCATACTTCTGCCACTGGAACAGGTACAAACTGGGGTCAGGTGCGTCTCATCCATAGTAATTCGCCTTATAGAACGCGCTTATCGGGACTGGGAGCCGGCCCAACATCACCATGTGTTCTATTTGGGGACGAGGGTGGATGACAGAAGCCCGCGGGGAAATGCAATGAACGGACGGTCGGGGCAGGCGAGAGGATGACAGAAAACACCAAAACAGGAAAAAAGGAACATTGGGCCTCGCTCCACTACGCTCGAAATGTGCAAGACGAGAGTGAATCATCTGCTAGATACACCGCCGTGATTTTTGTCTTTTGTGCATCTGGGGAGTAGTGGAGGGACGCCCATTGAATGGCATCGAATTTCGTGAGCTTGAAACCTCCGCTCGAAACCTCTGATACTAAACACATGAGAGGGCGAGGGACGGGGGGCGCTCGGCTCCACCGCTGCCGGGTTTGTCTGAGACCGGCCTAGCCGCCTTCGCCCAGCCATTCTTGTTGGTACGAGGGTTCACTCGGAGCACGAAGGCGAGCAGCTATGTCTGCCCACGTTGCTTCGGTAGGCTAGCCCCACACCCCATCCCCTTCACTCAAGACACAAACCTAGACTCGAACAAGAAACCCTCTCTTCGGGAAAATCCGTATCCCAGCCAACCATGGAAATTGACGAAGAAGCCACCACTCCACAACACCACATGGGAGATGTTGGAATGGTGGGAGCAGATGGAGTAGCGACCTCGCCACATATGCAGGCAGCCGAGGATGAAGGGACAAGTGCTCAAAACCGGTCCCCTCCTCAGGCACAGACTAATTACTGGGCCGAGGAGGAACGGGTTAGCGACATGCTGGCGAAATGCTTTGATATCGGCATACTCCCTGCGGGATGGGACATAGGCGAGCTGAAGGAGGAAGGAACCAAGGCCCATTTTACTTTGAATCCATCTTTAGCTGAAATTAAAGTAAAATGGCTCAAGGAGTGCACCGTTACTGTAATATTTCAAGAAGGTTCCAAGAACTAGCTAAGAAAATCAAGGAAGAAGTTGTGCGGGCTTTCGAAGACACCTGGATGGGAGAGGAACGTTTTGACCCCTCAATCACTCGCGGCCGTGTCTGCATCGAATCAAGCAACAAACTCTCATACATTGCTAAAGACACAAGAGTGACGGAGTGGATGATCCAGGAAGGAGAAACCAGAGTGGCTCTTCGAGGCAGATGGTACAGCATCACCTTCAAGCCGTGGCTGACCAAGAAGGAAATCCAAGACCTAAGAATAGAAGCGGCAAATAATTATTTTTGGGTTAGAATTTTAGCTGTTCCAATCGACCCCTTCTGCTATCTGGAATCTGCTGTGGAGCTTTCAATTGGGCAGGTGCTTAAAGTCTACCCATCGGAGCGTTGCAAGGACACCACAGTTGATTAACGTCCGGGTGGATATAGCAATGGACACGCTGCCAAGATTGTAGGAAACACTATCCTTCACTACCTTTCAAGGTCAGCTAATTGAGCTGAAAGTGGCTAATGCCCGAACATCTTGGTGCAGCCGTTGCAGGTGGTGTTACCACTTGGCGGATGACTGTCCTCGTCAACGTCGTAGACGTGAACCAAGTCCCACCCCAAGCCATCACTCGAGCGAAGCGGCATCATCAAGCAGCAGCCAACCGTCAAGGCCACGTAGCCCAAGTGCAGATTCATCAAATAGCAGAGGATGTTCAACTAGGTCTCACGGAAGCCAGGGCAAAGTGCCACCGGAGAACCGACAACATTCCGGAGGACCCTCCAAATCAGCCTCAAGATCGCGAAGTTCAAATGGGAGACCCACCAAGCAGCCGATCTACACAGGGACGCTCGGCCCGTTGGGAGGCATAGGAATCCAGGCGAGAGGCGACCGCGAGGGGATGGCGACGAGAGATAATCCGGTCTTCTCTCCTGCCCCCCACCACAGGGAGGGAAGAAGGAAACCCCTCAGGAGCCCAAGGGGAGATGGCAGCAGTGGATGGGGCAACGCGACCTCAAGCGGAGAATTCAGGGGACGAAAATCGAGCACCTCAAGATCACAGACAATATCCGGATCGAAGGACGCACACCGAGCCGAAACAACTCCGACCAAACAGAGAAGGAGACTGAGTGAAGACATGCGAGCATTCAGGATAGAGGAAGAAATTGACGACGAAGACTCATCGGTGTCAATATTAAGACAAAACGCGAACAAGCAGCCTGAAGGAAGCATGAAACTGAACCGGCGTCAAGCCACTTCCAAAGCAGGAGAACGGGACTGGGAGAAACACTTACTCCCATTGTTATTTATAACAACAGTGGAAGGCACATATGCTTTGGCTTGGTCAACAGGGTAGGGGGTTACCCTCCTCCCCTCACAGCCAATCGCCTCTCCACCGTGACCTATGTCGTTGGAAATTTTAAATATTACACGTAGATTATACGACAATGATATCACGATTAGGAACATTCCCAACATCCCTACCCCTCGCTTTTTCATAGAGCAACCTGCGGTCAAAGTTAAGTTGTTCACTCCCATCCAGGACGCTAAAATAACTCAGGAATCCCTCTAGAAATTGGTCGGTCAAGGATTGAGTTTATTCCCGATGGAATGACTCTCCCACTTGAATCACCCGGAACTGTCGAAAATAACTATGCTCGGAGACAGTGACGCATCATGTCTGGGGACGTTGTCCCAGAAAATACCCAAGGCAAAAGCGCTTCACTCGACCGCCTTCCACGCCTTCCTGAGTCGATGTCTGGACACAGGATGTCAGATGAATCTGTCACGAGGAACTGCAATTCCTTCGCTCCTCATTCAATCACGATCGGGCTCAGACAACACCCATGTTGCACGTTAAAATAGCAACGTGGAACGTTCGGGGCCTCTGCGACACAGGTGGTCGTGGGAAGAGGGCAAGGATTAAGACTTGGCTACATGAAAATCGTATTTTTGTGTTATGCATGCAAGAAACGGAATTGGATCAAGAGAAGATTCTCTCATTGGGGGCATGGTGGGATGACCCTCAGGTATGGGCACCGACAGTAGAATCACGAGGAGAAGTCGCCATCTTGCTCCATCGTAACCTAGA